CCCCCCCCCCCCAGCAGACCAGGCTTTTGTTGTGGACCCTGGGGCAGAGCAGCTGGGGCGCTGCCGGTTGGCCTCTTAAGGGGAGGTAGTCTTATACGGCGAGTATAGGCGAAAACCTATGTTTTAACTAGAAAATTAGGGGGTCGTCTTATACGCCCAGTCGCCTTATACGCCGGAAAATACGGCACCTGGGGACTTCAAAAAACAGTCCTGATTAATTCTCTTGTAAAAGATGTGGTATAAAGCTTTCATTGATACATGCTTGAGATAACCTGTCTTCTTTATATCACTATCATTAGATATTCCACACTCAACTCATAAAAATCTATATTTTGGCCCTGAACTACCTTGAACACATTCGGAAGTTTGGTGCTATTTCTTCAATGAAACAGAATATCTGATGTAATCATTACTTTGCGTTAAGCAGAAATCACCTGGAGTCCTCGTGAAAAGCTGAGATGAAATCCGTTTGCCCATATTCAGGATACAGGAAGAGTACAGGCCAGTTTACTTTGCCATTATCATCTAAGCAGACTTTTGTGCCAACTGCACTGTCAGAACTCAGTCCATTTAAGGACATCTCACCCAGACCATGTGATATTTCATCTTCCTCCTTAGAGGCCTCTAGAAACAGCTTGATGTTCCTTTCCTACATTGAAAAAAATCAATTTGAGAACATCATCTACAAATCAAAGATTAGCCACTTGACTATCTACATATGGAGAGCAATTTTTCCAAATGACAATTTTTGAGAGAGAACCCTACACACCTCTTAAGCACATACCTTTATAGCAGCAAGTAAGGCCTCCTTTTGAGACTGTTCCTTTTTCTCCTTCAGTTGTGCTTTCCTTATGTCCCGCTGTTCAGCTCGCTGCAAGCAAGACAAGTTTGCATCACAATCGTGAAGTTAGTCAACATCCCTCATTACTCTATTTTACTGAAAAACTGCAAAATCAATTTGGGTCACCAGAAAAATTATGGTTCCTCTCCCTGTATCTCTTTACAGTGACATGTCCAGAAATCACATTCAATTCCATTTCATGGAAATGCCAAGTGACTGTTTTTTAAAGTATTTTACTCGTACTTTGTCCTTATATAAAATCTTCCAAGCTCAGAGCTCTCTACAACCATTAATTAAATCCTCGACGTCCCCTGTGAGTGAGGCAATATTGTTATCGCTATTTAACAGATGCTTAAAGGAAGTGAAATGATGCTCAAGAAATAACTCCATGCTCAAGATCACACAATGGTTGGTCAGTGAGAGACAGAAATGAAACCCGGGCTCTGGGGACGTAAGCCTTTGCTCTAACCAGCAGACTATACATTTCAGGTATGGGAAGAAGCATTTTCATTCTGTAAAAATAGGAGGGAATACTTGGCTAACTTATGTCCGTTATGATTTAAGAGGTCTTGCTTTCTCTACCAAGCCATAATAAGCAGTTTGGTCTCCACTATGGAACTATGTCCCTTACTACAGTGATGCTGACTCCACTAGCTGTAAAACTGGAGGCACTAAATTTGGACAAGACTAATATTTAAAACTTAAAGCCTGGAAGAGACCATTAGGACATTCAATCCATCCTCCCTGATCTTTAGATCCTGCTAAACAGAGACTGTAGTGCCCTCTGGAAAAATGACAATTAGCATTTATAAAGTGCCTTCTCAGGATCCCAAAGTGCTTCCCAAACAGGAGCTGGGGATACTAGATTGATGGTCTGATCTGGTCTGGTAAATTCTAGAGTGCCATGGTTAAGATTTTGGTTTAGTTTTTACCTTTAATCTGTCAGCTTTGGCTCTCATTTCCACAAGATTTTTCTCCTTTGAATCTATCCTCAGACCCTCCTCACACCATGCCACTGCTTCTGGGAAATTCTTTAACTCCAAATGACACAAAGCTCCTGAAAGAATTAGATTGCAAAAATTCTGACATATGACCAGTATATAAATCTGTTAATACAAAGAGTAGTCTGTCCTCATGGATCCTTTCTAGTATGTCTGTGATGTTGAAAGCTTCTGCTTCAGGAGTCAGGAAGGGATTTCTTCCCTCCTGTGTACGCCAAGAAAGATAAAGCACCTAAGTAACTGATTTCCTTTCAGACAGAGAATAGCATTACAGGCTATAGGCTATTTAAGGAAGATAAATAAAATGTATTATAAAATGGAAACAAACTTAAAAAAACCTTGGGGTTTTTTTTTTAATCCTTTGATGAAATATATTTTTATAAGTTACAGACTAACACAGCTACCCCTCTGAAATTTTTAAAAATCTGATAGTCTACCCCTAAGAACAGTATTGCAACAAATTATCCTTACACAGCATTTTGAAGCCTTGGCTTTTAAGTACTTAACTTAAACATCCTTGATCATTGTGTTGTTATACACAGAGTAAAACACTCTTTGCACACAATATAGTGTTGCAAAATAAAGTGGTCTGGGTTTGATATTTTTAACTTATCTTTCAACTTCAAATACTGGCATACTAGTCATTTATTTTTAAAACCTTACCTCTTATTATTGCTTTGAGATGGTTGGGTCTCAGCTTTCTTGCTGCAATCACATCATTGAGAGCAGAACGGTAGTTACCTATATAAAGCAAAGCACACAAACAACTTCTACAATCCAAGTAGATTTGAGGGCAAGAGGAATCATTAGGGTTATCCATAGCATAATGCATGGTCTATGACTACATTATGGGTACAATGGAGGCTGCACATTAATGACAACAGAAATAAATGATTGGGGTAAATCTAGTGCCCAGAAAAGTGAAGGATGGATAACATGTGCTAGGATACACAATGCACAAACTGCTACTTTTAACATAACAGATTGTTCTCAATATTTATGACTTCCTTGTTTTGTTACAGGGATCTCAATGGGACCTTTAAGAATACACAGATCTATCCAAAATCTGATGCACATGTATAATTTTCTGTTTCCTTATCTTTTCATTATAGACCCAGAGTTTTATCAGCATCCTTCTCTTGCATCTAATCCTGACCCAGCTTTTACAGTGTGAATGCCAAGTCAGGATTTGCATCAAAGCAGCTCTAAGAATTAGCCCAAAGAAGACCAGCACCAGCCTGTTTGCTTCTCACTGATTCCTCCCCAAAACACTTTTCTTCACACACAAGTCTTAAATTTAGCAATATGTGAAACAGAAGCTCCAAGGTTTGACCACCTGCAGAGAGAGTTACAGCCACAGGGCCACTTCACCTTGATTGGTCCCTTCTATTAAACCATCTGTTCAACCTTGTATTTAGTGGTGACACTCAAGTATCTTTCCCAGCCCTGAGGAAGAGCTCTGTGTAACTAAAAAGCTTCTCTGTTTCACCAAGAGAAGCTGGTCAACTAAAATATATTATCTTGCCCACCTTATCTAAGTTCTTGATTATCTTAAAATCTTTTAAAAGTTTGTAACAGTTAAAGCACGTACCATAAATAGGAAAAACAACTTGGTCATTTTTGGTTACACAGAATCTAGACTAGACGTAAAATGCAACATAGGACATAGTCTATTACCCAGATAAAACTGTGCTGCAGCACGGTTAGTATAAAGCACAGCATTCAAGTCTTGGTCACTGCATTTCTTTTTTAACCCTTCAGTATATGAGATAACAGCTTTCTTGTAGTTCTTTTCCTTGAAATATTCATTCCCCTCATTCTTATAGGTGTTCGCTTGCTCTGAAGAAACAGAAAAAACAAAACCACCTTTCATTGTGCAAGGCAAACAACAGGTCAACCCCTATGAGTTTAGCATGCCTACAAAGTGCAAACACCCCTTATATACCCAATCCCCATTTCCAGAAAAGCAGAGGTCTAGAGCCCACCACACCCACCTACAAACAACTAAATCCTCAAATCCCAAAAATAATCCCAAAGAGCAGTACCACAGTACCAGATTGGTGTGAAAGCAGAAATTTAAATTTCCATGAAATTATGAAGTACCTTCAGGAGATCGATCCTCATCAAAAATAATTGACTGAAGGCAAGCCAAATCAGGATTCTGTTCAGGATCAATTTCAGCAGGGGATTGCTTCATAAACAAGGGGATCTTGTCAAATTCCTATTAATAGTGGCCAGGGTGGAAAAGACAATCATTCAACTGAAATTAAGTCCACCTTTTGGAAATCATTATGCCCTTATTAATACAGTCTCGCAAAATACTCTCATCCCGCACATCAACTCGGTGAGGGCACAGGTGGCCTGTACTACAACAAAGGTGTGGAAGAAGCTCACCCACATCTCTTTGGGAGTAAGAGCCCCTCATTTGTGATCCCTTGGAAGGAAAGAGGAGTTTCTCTCTCAGCAATGCAATGGGACATTTCATATCCCACAACAGAGGGGTTTTACAATCTCTTGTGCTGGGATTACGCTAGTATTAGGCACATGTTTTGGTGCCATCACTGCCTCCTTGTGAGGGGAGAGCCCCTTTATGCGCCATCTGATAGCTGCACTCATGGTCAGGCTCATGCCCCTGCCCCCAGCTCTGTCAGACTCACCACAGCTGCTATGTAAACACAGGAGATACTCCCCCCCCCCCAAACACACACACACAACCCAGGCAGGGCACCCTACAAACACAGAGCTCCAACCTTTCACACTTCCTCCCACCACATTGCTTCCCCATCTCTGTGTCCCAGGCCCCAGCCCCCCAACACACATCCCATCTCCAGGGATGGTCCCTCCACCCCATTGCTGGCAGCAAGCCCCTGTCCTCTAACCCCCACCACCC